AGGAGTAGGGAGGAAGAACAGGGTTATTCCCAATTCGAACAGAAAAATGGAGAAGAGAGAAGGTCCAAGGTCGGGATTTGGAGGAGAGGGGTAGGGCTGCGGGTGGGGCAAGGTAGGTGTCCTTTCTCTTAGGGTGGTTGGATTTTGGGTCAATTCAATAACTAAACAGAACCAACCCGATTTGGTGGACAATGGACTAAAATGAAAGAAAAACTAATTCTATGAGTTGATCTGTAATTTTATTTAATATAAATTCCAAAAAACAAATCATTTAATAAAATTTAATCTCAGCCGTCGAGATCACACGTACGGTCAAGATCACCCAAGGTACGCCATACCCCGAAATTTACCCGGGGTACGATAGAAGCCACCATATATATATATAGGGGTGCTAAGACGCCACCATATAAAATGACGAAAAATTAGATTACTAGCACCTACATGCACAAACTTAGGGGTGCTGAGCACAATTATGCACAATCCTTAGGATGCTAAGCAAAAAATATGCACAACCCTTAAATTGCTAAGCACAAGTATGCACAATCATGGTGAATAATGCCTCAAACATTAAATTGAACGATACCCAATATCAATCATCCAAACCACATACAAGAAAACTACATGGTAGAGTTAGGGTTTCACTACACCCAAATGAAAGGAGGACTACTCCATGGAAGAAGTGGAAGAACAAAAGGGAAAAAGGTGGAAACCATGTTTTGGGGATGTCTCCTCTTTTCTTCAACCTTGAGCTGAGATCTCCTTGGGGAAATCTTCCCAAAATCTCCTTGGAGCCAAACCCTAACCTCTTCTTCTCTTTGGTTCTGTTTCTCTCACTAAAATGCTGAAGAAGGTGTTTCTCTCACAAAAGTAAGCTCTCCTCTCTCTCCTCCTTGCAGCTCAGCTTTTAAACATGAGAAGAGTTGAGTTCATGGCCGTGAACCATCAAACGCGTCCGTGAACTCAAGCCGTGTGCCAAAATGCTCTGCATCGCTCACGTCAGTTCACGAGCAACTGCTTGTGTTCACGGTCTTAGTGACCGTGAACTCACCTTGCGTTAGTAACCTTAAAATTGGCTCTGGACGCCTTGCGCATCACGCTCAACTCCCCTTCTTCACGGTCTTGCACGACCGTGCACTCTTGCCTTTAGCACTGGCGCTTTTTCACCTCTTCTCCCGGTTTTCTATCCTTTTCGCCAATCTTTAGACTCCACGGTTGGTTTCACCTGTTAAATACGGAAAAACACTCAAAAACACATATTCAGACTACACAGACTCATAATCAAACAACACAGATACGTATTCAAACAATGAAGACTTAAAACTTACAATCATGAATTGGACACCTCCATGGACACTATCAATGGTCTCCTTTCCATGGTATAGCAAACTATAAGTGGGTGTGAAAATCAGAGAAGAAATGAGAGACAGTTGATCAGTCAAAAACTATTTTTTATAATCTCCTCTTTTCTTAATAAGATCCTATAGCATACTGTAGACACCACATTTTCCTGTCTAGAACCTTTCACGAGGACATCAAAGTGCACTTACAATCGAGAAACTCCAAGTACGCTCGATGGTGACTCCAAAAGTGAACGCGACCCGATCTGAGGGACGTTTGCGACACATATATTGTAATTCAGAATTTTAAAAATTTTGCTTAGAAAGAATGCATTAATTATGATCTACACAATGATACCCATTTTTCAATATTTTGAGCATATAAAAAAAATTAGCTTTTCAAAACACGTATTTATAAAAAGACAACAGATGGGAGAGAGAAAATGAGAGCTCTTTTTTGGAGAAGAACATGGTTCCCTGTCTAGGGTTCCGACCCAAAACACCAAAAAGGGGTTTTAAGAGAGAGAGAGAGAGAGAGAGAGAGAGAGAGAGAGAGAGAGAGAGTGATCTTGGAGGTTAATTGGAGGCTTGGGTTAATCCTGGAGTCAAGGAATCAGGCATAGAAGATGAAGATCTTGAGCTATTTTTGTAATCTCTCTTCTCTCTTTACGAACTAAACCTCTTTCTCTTAGGTTAATGAACCCTAGATCTAGATTTTAGTTTGATGTTGATGTATGTGACAAATCCTATGTTTGATTGATCATTTTATTTAGATTATGGATGGTTTTCATGGATTGCATGAGTTTCGATTCCATATAATTTCAATTGGGCTTTTGACCTAGGAGGGAGAAGATCCCCTTAGAGCCCATTATTGGCGTCTTAGGGTCACTCCTCATTCTATATCATTCGGGTAATTCCCGAGGGAGTCGATTTGGTCAATTACTTGGTAGTATATGAATCCCTAGGTTGAATAGAGCACTACCCATTCATTGCTATGTCGTTTCGGGTTAATCCCGAGAGAGTCAATCTCATATTGGTAGACTAATTAAGTCAATCGAGCTAGGATGGTATGCAACATTAGTCCAATTGATAGAAGTGGGGGGGGGGGGGGGGTTCGAGCTATGAGAGCTCCCAAACTTGTAATTAACTAGACTAGTGTAGTTAGGTTAGTTAGCTTAATCACTATTCTAGGTTGGCTAAATAATAAAACCTTAAGCCGAAGTAAAGTAAACCTAGAGACCCTTAGTTCGATATTTTTATTGCTTGCTTACCTATGCTACACCGATCGTCAGTTATGCTTGGTCGTCGATTGTCATATCGCCATCATTAATTAAGATCTACCTAAAGATATTCACTTTGTTATGTTTTTTTTAGACATAAGACCTTATACCAACATCATATTAATGTCATATCACCATCAGTATTTAAGATCTACGTAAGGATATTCATTTTGTTAAACATAATGTCTCATACCAACATCATATCATTATCATACCAACAACATACCAATATCATATCACTATGGGGTCGTTTAGATAGGTTATTTAAATGAGTTATTTGGACCAAAATAACTCGTTTGGCTTCAGATTAATGAAATGAGTTATTTTGGGTTGAGTTATTTTGAAAGAACTAAAAAAAAAGTTATTGTAAATAACTGGGGGTTGTTATTTACAAATAACTCATTCTCATTTCTTTTTGTTCCCACTTTGTCCCTTTCTCTTTCTTCTTTACTCTCTCCGTGAGACAAGTGAAGACTCATCCTCTCTTCTTCTACACGTACTAGCATCTCCTCCTTCTCTCAACTTTCAGCTTCCACCTTGAATCCTCCTACAGTCCTACTCCTTCTTGATGAAATTGGGAATTTTAGAATAGAGATTTGGTTGGATTTTTCTCCAACAGGGCACTTAGTGATGACATATTCGAAGGAGACGGTGGGAGGTTTCGAAGATTATGGTGGTAGATCGAAGGCGACGAGAATCGGACTTCAATAGATTTGGGAATCGTGTATCTGGAGCTGGATTTCGATTTATGTGTTCTTGAATTTGGGTTTGCACCACCGCCCTCCTAGATTTGTCCGCTCCGTCACCCTCAAAGATTTGTCCACTCCATCGCCGGCATCGTGGCCTGACTTTAAATCCGGGTCATAGAAGAGGGATGTTATAGGCGATAAGGAGTTTGAGGGAGTCAACTAATGTTTTTCCTATGGTTAGTAAATACTCTGTTTAATACACGTATATTTACCCGTACGTACTTTATTCGTATAAAATTTTCGTATCCGTATTATTATCAAACCGTTTCATTTTTTCCCGTTCATTGGATGACTCCCGTACTAAATACGTATAAAACCCGTATAACACGTTTAATATCCGTATTTAATGAATTAAATTGTCAACTTTACTATTATTTATATATTTATTTTTATATATTTATTACTATTAACGTACTATTAAACATACCTTTAGCTTAGAGACGACGTAAAATACCCATACGTATTTTTTACGTAACTTTCCCGTACCGTATTTTACTAATTCCTAGTAATGTTCAGTGTGGCGGCAAACAGAGGTGACGTCGGGTTTGGTAGGAAATGAAGAACATAGCCTAGAAATCTAGTTGTCATTGGGGGTATTTGCATATGCAAAAGAGAGTTCAATTTGATTTTGCATGTTCGATTTGAGGTTTCCCTCAATTCAGAAATTGGGTATATAAATTGGTATAATCCTTTTAATCAATCTCTTTCTCTGATTGTTTGCCATTGATTGTTGTTTGGTTACAGTTGCTTTGTTGCTTTGTTTATCATGGATTGAAGAGGAAACACTACAATTCTAGTTGGCACCTCCACCTTTGGCAAATACATTTTTTTTGCCTCTATCATCCCTATGGAAAGGACGTTTTACACTTCGCTCACATAAAACATAGTTTAGCCTTTTCTCGAGGGCAATATGGTATTTTAAACCGAATACCACATGTGAAATAATTCATTATATTTGCTCATCCAAACAATATATTTTTACTTTTACTTTCTTCAAATAACACACAAATACCACAATTAGAAAAAATTAGTTATTTGTGTCTACAAATACCACATTGACGAATCACTCATCCAAACGACCCCTATATCATACCACTGTTAGTGGTAATATCATGATAAGACAGTGGTTTGATCATCTGGATTTTTTTTGCTGTAAAAAATATCAAAATAGATATCATCTTGTAGATAACACAAATTTTGATATTTTTATGCAAAATTTTTTGAAATCCGATTTAAAAAGAATGAGCTGTGGTCCATAGAGTTTTTGTATGAGATTTGAAAAGTCCTTTAACATGTGTCTGAGAACCTGCGCCAACACAAAAAATCTGGTTAGCTGTTTGATTCGGGTCTAATTCCACATGTTTTGCCCCCGTTTGACTTAGATGTTTGTGCCAAATTTGCTCATTAAAGGTTGGTTTTACGCGAGGTTCTTCGTGTTTGAGTGCTTTTCAGGATTTAACAGGTGGAACCAGCATCGGAGTCAAAAGATTGGCGAAAAGGATCGAAAACCGGAAGAAGAGGTGAAAAGCGTCAGTTCACGGCTAAAGGCAGCAGTTCACGGTCGTGCAAGACCGTGAAGAAGGGGAGTTGACCATGAAGCGCAAGGCGTCTAGAGCCAATTTGAAGGTTACTGACGCAAGGTGAGTTCACGGTCACTAAGACCGTGAACACAAGCAGTTGCTCGTGAACTGAGGTGAGCGATGCGGAGCGTTTTGGCGCGCGGCTTGAGTTCACGGACGCGTTTAATGGTTCACGGCCGTGAACTCAGCTCTTCTCGTGTTTAAAAGCTGAGTTAAAAGGAGGAGAGAGAGGAGAGCCCACTTTTGTGAGAGAAACACCTTCTTCAGCATTTTAGTGAGAGAAACAGAACCAAAGAGAATAAGAGGTTAGGGTTTGGCTCCTAGGAGATTTTGCGAAGATTTCCCCATGGAGATCTCAGCTCAAGGTTGAAGAAGAGAGGAGGCATCCCCAAAAGATGGTTTCCACCTTTTTTCCTTTTGTTCTTCTCGTTTCTTCCATGGAGTAGTCCTCCTTTCAATTGGGTGTAGTGAAATCCTAACTCTGCAATGTAGTTTTCTTGTATGTGGTTTGGATGATTGATATTGGGTATTGTTCAATTTAATGTTTGAGGCATTATTCACCATGATTGTGCATGCTTGTGCTTAGCAACTTAGGGGTTGTGCATATTTTGTGCTTAGCATCCTAGAGATTGTGCATAATTGTGCTTAACACCCCTAAGTTTGTGCATGTAGGTGCTAGTATTCTAATTTGCCACCTTAGCCTAGTTTAGAGAGGAAAATCCCCCTTTAAAGGGAGACTCAATCGAGTTGGCTTTCCTTCCGCTTTCTAAGCCACCTAAACTAGGTTAAGTTAGGGCAACCCTCAATATTGAATTGAACAAGTCGATTAATCGTGGTTAAGCCGTCCGACCTTAGAGTTGAGTGAGGGAGTAAGCCGATTACCGATTGTCTAAATTGAGAGGGTCGAGTGACAGGACCTTTCATCCTCACCTCAGTTTAGCAAGTGAGACTATGGTCTTCGACCACATACGTTTTCCTCTGCGATTCACGATTAACGTGCCTAATGTAATCGTTCCAATCTACGTAGCATGGTAGCGGTTAGGGGTAAGCGAAACAGGAGTGACTTTCCCACAAAAGAGTTTTCAAACCAAATTACCTTTGATTTCTTTCATTTCAATTAGCAAACCTTTAAACCAAAGTTTTATCGCTAGATAATGATTTCAACAACCGAAGTAGGGGTAGACGGACGGGCCCAGGTCGATATATAAATACTTGCCCTATACTGCACTCGATTAGAGTTTAAAAACTTGGGCTCTAATTGGAGTTTAATTGTGGTGTAGTTTCGTGCGAGCCAAGTTTTTGGCGCCGTTGCCGGGGACAACGGTCTGTTATTCTAAAAAAGTTGTTGGTTGTTAATCTAGCTTTTAATTTCCAGTTTTGCAAGTGTGTGTGTTCTTTGCTTGTGCTACTCTTGGTGTTTTCCGATTGTGTGTAGGTTGTGCATGAACCGGAGCAAAGTGGCACCCTTGCTACCACTTGACGAGGACATAAACCGAACTCTCCGACTCCTAGCAAGGGAGAGAGAGCTAGCCGAGACAAGGAGAAGGAGTTAAAGAGGAGGACAACAATTGGGTCCCGGTGTTAGTGGAGAAGTAGTTGAAGAAGTGGAAGTTGAACCTGTCATTGAAGAGGAAATGGCGGGGAACCAAAAGCAAGATGGAGCCGCTCAAGCCCGCCAAATGAATGAGGAGGCGGGAGAAGAAGGAGCCCCGAGGACGATGGGATACTATATGGCCCCAAGGCCGTCGGACATTCAATCGCCGATCCTACATCCTCCCGTGGTGACAAACAATTTCGAGATCAAGCCGGCTCTAGTGACTATGATACAAAGTAATGCTCTCTTCCACGGCCATGAAAGCGAGTCACCAAGAGAGCACATGCAGAGATTCTTGGAGCTCGCGGGGAGCTTGAAGATTAATGGTGTGCCGGCCGAGGCTTTGCAACTAAGGCTTTTCCCGTACTCACCCTTGGGGAAGGCACTTAGGTGGCTAAACAACCTCCCACCTCGGTCTATCACCTCATGGGACGACCTCCTCAACAAGTTTATGGCTCGTTATTGCCCGCCTTCGAAGACGGCGGAGTGGAGAAAGAAGATTACACATTTCGAGCAAGAAGAGGACGAAACCTTGAGGGATGCTTGGGAGAGGTACTCTGATTACTTTCTTCAATGCCCTTACCACGGGTTTGAGGAACAGTTTCAGATTGAAACCTTCTACGGAGTCCTAATGCAAGAAGATAAGATCCTCATTGACTCCAGGTGTCAGGAGAAGTTGATGAATATGGCTCCGCCCCAAATAACTGATATCTTATAAGACATGGCCCTTAGGGGGTATGATTGGGGGTTGACTAGAAGTTTAAGAAGAAGCAATGAAAGGAGAGTGAGAAGCGTGGGAGCGAGTGCTCCGCTTGAGGCAAAGTTAGATAAGTTGCTTGAGGTTTTGCTTGAAGATAAAAGGCAAGGAAAAGGGCGGTAATGTCGTGCGACTGGTGCTCGAGTACTAGCCACGAGATAGCGGAGTGCCAAGCAATGAAGGAGGAAACCACTCCAGAGGAGCAAGTCAACTTTGTGGCAAATGCTAGGGTCAACAACCTGTATAGCAATACTTATAACCCGGATGGACGAACCACGCCAACTTTGCTTGGGCATCACCGGCTAATCCAAGGCCCCCAGGTTTCCAAGGCGCCACGGGGAATTTCAAACCTCGGCAAACCTTCATCCAACAAAGGCCCCAACTCCAAGGCTCAAACTTTCAACAACCGTACCAACCACAAGGTGCCCTAGGATTTCAACAACATCATCCCGACAAGTTATCCAAGCTTGAGGACCTAGTGAACACCTTTGTGAGTACGAGTAGCCAAAAGTTCGAGAAGATTGAGCAATTTATGGATGTGGCAACTACCAAGTTTACCTCGGTTGAGGCGGGTCTCCGAAGTCATCAAGCGAGTCTTTAGAGCTTGGAAGTGCAAATCAGCAACCTTGCCAGCATTCTCACCGAGAAACCCAAGGGAGCCTTACCTTACCAAACTATGGTGAACCCCAAGGATCAAGCAAAGGTGAATGCACTTCAAGTGAGGAGTGTGAAGGTGGTTCCGGACGTCGCCACGGAAGAAACAATAGAGATGGAAGAGTCCAACAAGGAAGAGACCATCCCGAAAAAGGGAGAGAAGAAGCCCTCGAGGAATGAGAGGAAGGTCTCAAGGCAAGCATTGCCGGAGGAGGGATATGTGCCACCTCTTCCTTATCCCACAAGGATGTACAAGGAGAGGTTGGACAACGAGTGTGGAGGGTTCATGGAAATGCTACTCAACCTCCACCTCAACATCCCATTCTCTGAATCCATGGCGCAAATGCCAATATATGCCAAGTACCTCCAAGGATTCCTCGTCAAGAAGCCAAGGCTTGAAGGCCTCCCCAACATGACTCTTGGCGAGGAGTGCTCGGCTTTCCTCCTTGACCGCTTGCCCAAAAAGAGGTCCGACCCAGGTAGTTTTACTATCTCTCTTGATATTGGTGATCACCAGATAGATAATGCCTTGGCAGACCTAGGAGCTAGTGTGAATTTGATTCCCTACAAGCTTTTCAAAAAGTTAGAGGTAGGTGAACTTAAGACCTCTAAGCTTCGCATCACCATAGTCGACCGTTCGGTCATTAGCTCGAGAGGTATAGTGGAGGACATGCTGGTGAGAGTGGGCAAGTTTTGCTATCTGACCAATTTCGTGATTCTCGACATAAGTGAGGACTCATATATGCCCCTCATCCTCGGTCGTCCCTTTCTTGCAACCGCCAAGGCATTGATAGATGTTAATGAGGGAACCCTAATTTTGAGGGATGGTAAGCAGAGAATCAAGCTTCAAATTGATCCTAGGATGAGGAGTGATGAAGTGAAAGGGGTAGTTTCAAATTATATGAATGAGAGTGGAGGAGAGCCTCCTAAGGCAAACCCCACTGTTACTTGTGTTGTCTTTGATGATGTTGAGCAGGAAGTTAAGAAGGGTCCCAAGCCAAAAGGACCAAGATTGAATGCTTGGAGAAGAAGGATGAAGGGAGCTTTTACCCGGAAGACGGGGGAGCCTGAAGCAAGGTTGGCCAACCAAGAGGGACAACTCAAGGAGCCTAAGATGGGAGGCTACAAGCCTCGCCCCGAGAGTGTGGTGGATTCGCTCTCGGTGGCATCACGTTTAATTTGAAGTCGTGATTGATCGTCAACCGTCAAGCTAATGACGATAAACAAGCGCTTGTTGGGAGGCAACCCAACGGAGGTTTGTTTTCTTTTCCTTAGTTTTCGTTTTAGTGTCTTGTGAAGGGTTCGAATGGTGATGTGGTATCCCCATGCCGAGTATTGTGTTTTTGCGGTTTATAGTTGTGTTGTGATCGATTAGGAGGCACGGGGGAATAGGTTGAGTCAAAATTTTTGCAAAAGTGCCCTGTTTTCACTTGAGTTCACGGACGGATTGCTGAGTTCACGGTCACTAAGACCGTGAACAGGCAAACGCGTCCGTGAGCGCTGATGCATGTTCACCACCTGCCAACCACACCGTGTTCACGGACGCATTTGTGAGTTCACGGTCGCTAAGAACGTGAACTGGGCAACACGTCCATGATCTCAGAGCTCTGCCTATAAAAAGGGCGTGAACGGTGACCCTTCACTTCAAGACCAAAAACTCACCGGAAAACTTTGAATCTTCGTCGGAATGCGAAATCCCATCGCTTTTTCGACTTTTCCCCCAAATCTGGCGAGCAAAACCAAAAACCAACGTCATACCCAGTCCCCTCTCCTCAAAAATGGCATGTGCTGTGAATTTGGGGAGATTTGGACCATATTTTACCCGGCCGCCGCCGGTGTCTAGCGCTCCCGCGCCCTGCACAGCACCCATCACCACCAGGAGCAGGCGATCCCCTCGTCCAGAGGTTGGATCGCCTTGATACGGGCTTCTTGGGATTCTCATTCCGCCTCGAGCGACAGTCCGACATCCTCTAGCGCATGACTCGACACCAGGGTATCCTACCCAAGTCTAGAGAGGGTCCATCCACCAGAGAGGTAGCCAACGAGAGAGACATGTTCTAGAGCGGAGTCCTTTTGCCCCAGTTCTCTACTTGTAACCCTAAACTTGTTTTATTTTTGTTTTTGTTATTTGTGTGTGTGTGACATGAACTACTACTACTATGTATTGTGCTTGTAATAACCTCGTCTTGAGCGAGTCGTATTGTGCTTGTGTGTGTTCTGTTGTCTCTCCTTGAAGCTCAATTATCCTACCCAGGTTCGATTCCTACATTCACTCACCAAGCCCAAGCGGTAACATCACTCTACCCCTTTCTTACGCCATTGAGGGCAATGCCGAGTTTAAGTGTGGGGGGGGGGGGGGTGGGGTGGGGGGGTAGTCTACTAGTATGCTTGTGTGAGTGAGATGTTGCTTGGAGCCTTTTGTATGCCAAATTTTAAAATTTTGAGGGCTCCAAGCAAGTTTGCATGTTCAAAGTGGCCGGATGGTGGGAAATTCAAGTGTTTGTAGCATTAATCGTAAACTGTTGCATGTGATTGAGTATATCCTATGATGATGATTGAGAATTTCATTAGGATAGGGCAAAAGTTTAGTTCTCAAGTTTGCATAAATGAATGGATTTCTTGACTGGATCACTTGTTGTTTACAATTGCCATGCATCGTGTTTGTGAATTGGAATAGATTGTTGGGTAACTAGGTAGCCTGTGAGCTTTGAGTCGTTCGTTTCTTTCGGTGTGATAGTTCCCTCTTACCACGGTGTGTAGCATCACAAGTTATCACTAGCAAGTATGATGGAGGCATAGGATTAGTCCACGCCCCAAATGTTGATTGTCCCAAAATGAGTCATCCGTTAGTCAACCTCTTTGAGCCGTGTGACTTCGTGGGTCGTTCTTGATTTAGGAGCTTCGTTCGTGTGAGCTTAAAGGTGTTAGTAGAACGGCACCCAAATCCTTTCTTCGTGTCCAAACATGAGTCGCGTGTGTGTCCCGGAGCTCTTACCATTGAGTTTCCATAGAGGTTCTACATAGGAGGTTCGTGAGTGGTCCTTGCTAGGGATGAGAAAAATGAAGTGTAGTGTTGGAGTGAGTTCCTCAGAAAGAGAGTATTGGTCGATAAATGTTTAGGTGGAAAGTGTTCTTACTCTCTAATACCCCCCTCAAAAATAAAAATAAAAATAAAAGAGCAAGAAAAGAAAAGAGAAACGAAAAAGAGGTAATAAATTGGGGTAAATAAAGTAGAGAGTGCCACGAAAAACCAAAGTACATGCTCTAGGAGGGGTTTCTTGGCACCCAAGCCAACGAAACCACCACATTGTTTAGAACTCCTTCACTACCAAACCTTAAAGAACTAGCAAGAGTTGACCGAGGAAGAGTGCTTCAAGGTGGTTCATGATTGGTCATAGTTGGAAGGGAGAGATAAGTGTTTTGGCCGATGCTAGTGGCCTTTGATTGAAGCGAAGGGTTTTAGTCGAAACCATAGACCCTTCGGGTATAGGTTGAAGATGTAGAACCTCACGTCATGATTGCCACCACCCAAAAATCCTTTTCCCCATGTCCAAGCCAATCTCCAACCATCTGAACCCATGTCTAAGACCTCCAGACGAGCTAGTGGTGACAACCATCCCGTGAACTCTAGCATTTAGAGGTTACCGCCATGGTATTGAGACGATAGGGCCAAGAGGTTACAATTATGCACATCTTTTGCACCAATAAGGTCCCGACCCCACTGGTCTTGAGAGTGAGCGATTCATTCTTGCTTTGCATGTCATATCATACCCCGGTGAGGACCTTCATTGCCTTTCCATTTGTTCCTCGGACTTGAATTCCATGCATGGTTGGTTGTGGTCGATAAGTGGTTTTGTTGAGACTTGCATTTATACATGAATAAGTTGAGAACTTTTCGTTTGCCCATTTTGGTGGCTTTGAATGTCGTTTGTGGTGCATGTCGTATTACTTGCAATGGTTCACGTGTTGATTGTCAATAAACATCGAGCATTCCCGCTTCGTGTCCTTTGAGTTGTCCCCAAAGCATTTGTGTAGGTTGAAATATTACCATGTGCATGAAATGGTTTGCTTGGGGACAAACAAACGTCTAAGTGTGGGGGAGTGATTTGGGCCTAATTACACATGTTTTGCCCCCGTTTGCCTTAGATGTTTGTGCCAAATTCGCTTATTAAAGGTTGGTTTTACGCGAGTTTCTTCGTGTTTGAGTGCTTTTCAGTATTTAACAGGTGAAACCAACCTTGGAGTCTAAAGATTGGCGAAAAGGATCGAAAACCGGGAGAAGAGGTGAAAAAGAGCCAGCTCACGGCTAAAGGCAAGAGTGCACGGTCGTGCAAGACCGTGAAGAAGGGGAGTTGAGCGTGATGCGCAAGGCATCCGGAGCATTTTTGAAGGTTACTAACGCAAGGTGAGTTCACGGTCACTAAGACCGTGAACACAAGCAGTTGCTTGTGAACTGACGTGAGCGAGGCGGAGCGTTTTGGCATGCGGCGTGAGTTCACGGACGCGTTTGATGGTTCACGGCCATGAACTCAACTCTTCTCATGTTTAAAAGCTGAGCTGCAAGGAGGAGAGAGAGGAGAGCTTACTTTTGTGAGAGAAACACCTTCTTCAGCATTTTAGTGAGAGAAACAGAACCAAAGAGAAGAAGAGGTTAGGGTTTGGATCCAAGGAGATTTTGGGAAGATTTCCCCAAGGAGATCTCAGCCCAAGGTTGAAGAAAAGAGGAGGCATCACCAAAAGATGGTTTCCACCTTTTTCCCTTTTGTTCTTCCACTTCTTCCATGGAGTAGTCCTTCTTTCATTTGGGTGTAGTGAAACCCTAACTCTACCATGTAGTTTTCTTGTATGTGGTTTGGATGATTGATATTGGGTATCGTTCAATTTAATGTTTGAGGCATTATTCGCCATGATTGTGCATACTTGTGCTTAGCAATTTAAGGGTTGTGCATATTTTTTGCTTAGCATCCTAAGGATCGTGCATAATTGTGCTTAGCACCCCTAAGTTTGTGCATGTAGGTGCTAGTAATCTAATTTTCCGTCATTTTATATGGTGGCGTCTTAGCACCCCTATATATATATGGTGGCGTCTTCGGTGCACTCACTTTTTTGGGTGCATTCAGTGCACTCACTTCATAACCATCATTTTAAGCATACGATTTATGTCAAAATGATGTCAATCATCACTTATGATGTGATGATCAATAACGCACATGAATTTGCACAAAAACCATTAAAGATTCACTGTAATTTGAAGGATTTAGAGTTTAGAAATTTAGGGTTAGGGTTAGAGTTTACAATTTGGGGTTTAGGGATAGAACTCAAAATTGGAGGTCTAGGGCTTAGGGTAATGGGCTAATTTGTTGTTATCATATGATATATCATCATATTACACTAATGCTACAAATTAAAATCCAAAATCCGACACCTTAAAACTAGTTTTTGAGTTGGCTACATTGACCGCACTCATCTTGTGAGTGCACCGAAATAGTCACCATATATATATATGGTGGCTTCTATCGTACCTTGGGTAAAATCTAGGGTACGCCATACCATGAGTAAAAAAATGCTATCTAGACCTCGAATTAACCGAATTTTTGGACATGATACTATACTCTAACCCTTGATGATTGAAACCTAGGTCTTAGATTTCTAAATCAAAGAGCCTAATCCCTAAGATTGTGCCTATAATTTGTTGCATATATTTCGACAAATCATAGCCGTTGATTTTTGTTTCTAATTAAATTGATCTTAGTGTATGAGATTTATAAAACTAAGACCTAGATTTTAATCCTTAAGGGTTTGGGAATAATATCAGACGCCAAACTATGCTCAATTCGAAGTCTAGATATCATTTTTTTACTCAAGATATGTTGTACCCTTGATTTTACCCAAGGTACGATAGAATCACCTATATATATATATATATAATATATATATATATATATATATATATGGTGGCTTCTATCGTACCCCGGGTAAATTTCGGGGTATGGCGTACCTTGGGTGATCTTGACCGTACGTGTGATCTCGACGGCTGAGATTAAATTTTATTAAATGATTTGTTTTTTCGGAATTTATATTAAATAAAATTACAGATCAACTCATAGAGTTAGTTTTTCTTTCATTTTAGTCCATTGTCCACCAAATCGGGTTGGTTCTGTTTAGTTATTGAATTGACCCAAAATCCAACCACCCTAAGAGAAAGGACACCTACCTTGCCCCACCCTTGGACCTTCTCTCTTCTCCATTTTTCTGTTCGAATTGGGAATAACCCTGTTCTTCCTCCCTACTCCTGTAAATCATCCCAGCCGTCTCAGAAAATGGCAGCGATAATTGAACCACTCTGTTTCCTCCTCTTATTCTTCTTCGTTTTCTCGTTCTCGACTGTTATATTTCCCACCTGTCGTATGATTCCTCCCAATCGATTGTTTGAACCCTAAACTGGCCGAATATCGCAGGTAATCTCGGCTTCAAGCTGTGCAAGCATAAGCACCCCCGTCACTTTGAATGAAAACTAATTGTTGCTTGTATGAGTAATTCACTTGTGTAAACAGCTGGGCAGGCGGAGATGATTGCACTGGAGAAGGCAATGAAAGAGGCCATGGTTCCTTCAGGATCTGCTAGGGAGGTAAGAAAGGGATTTTGAATTGAAATTGCCGAAATTGATTTTCGAACTACAATGCTGTGATTTTGGATGGATCTCTGATATGGATGAGGTGTATTGTAGACTGATTTGGGAAGAGAGATCTCGTTGTTTGAAGCGGAGGCTACAGCTGTGGAGTCTGTATTTCAAAAATTCTATTCCTACATTTTTTTACACTGAAACCGTGGGGTTCGAACTAAACAGAGACCCCGACAGGCCCAGTCCTGCTTCTATCTTCGTGGTTAACTTTGACAAGGTAAGGGTTTTGACGAATTGTGGTGACGGTTTTATGCATTGATGATAAACCGAGTTAATGTGTACCGGAATTAGGTGCTTAAGATGTCCCTTTCCGGGATCATGTGTGTTTTTGGTCCATTCTTTCAGTAGTCTTTGACATGATCTGTTGAGGAGCTTGTTTGGTGGTTTTCTTTTTCCAGGTCAGAATGGATCCGAGGGACAAGGAAGTCGATCTTAATAGTTTCATGTTTAGCACAGTTGATAAGTTGTCTGAAGAAGATATGAAGAAACAAGAGGGTGATTACATTTATAGGGGGAGCAACTCAAGTTTGGTTCAGCTCAGACAAATATTATTTGAATGGACGATATGTGACCTCTTTCATTTTAGTCACCACGAGAAATGACTATAAGTTCCTAATTCAATTTTAGCCACATTCTTCACTAGTGATGCTTTTAATCATGTTTCGGGTTATTCCATCTTTATTGGAAAATGGTTTAAGGGTCCACTTGATTGGGCTGGTTGTTGGACGATCCTCCAGCAAATTTCGATGGGTTACTTCGTGAAGACGTGATGGGAATAAGTTTCCCGAGGCAAGTAATCTGGCCAGTTTATCTCTATTAGTTTTTATTCGTCTATTTTGGCTATCTGTCTGCAATGTGAGATTACTGTAGCGGCTGGCTGTGTACTTGTGTTTATTCGGCTGAATAATAAACGTGTCCTTAAATCGTTACCATAAAGAGGGCATTCGTTGGAAAGGAAGAAACAAAACTAAATGCTAAAATGTTTTAGCAGAACACACTATGCGACTAGATATCCTTAAATCGTTACCATAAAGAGGGCATTCGTTGGAAAGGAAGAAACAAAACTAAATGCTAAAATGTTTTAGCAGAACACACTATGCGACTAGATATCCTTAAATCGTTACCATAAAGAGGGCATTTGTTGGAAAGGAAGAAACAAAACTAAATGCTAAAATGTTTTAGCAGAACACACTATGCGACTAGATATCCTTGAGCCCTGAATTCGCCTCTTCTGGGAAGCTGCTTTCCTGAATTAGCCTCTTCTGGGAACCTGCTTTCCTCTCTTGGGAAGCTATTTTGTACTCAAGTGTCTGAGCTTCAAACCTAGGCGCATTCTGATTTGCTTTCTTGAGCACCTTGTGTCTTATGTAATTGGTAGGCTCTTTGACTAGGTACAATGCCACCTGCATTCTTCTCAATTGATTGCATGGCTGTAAGGACAGAAAATATAACGTATTAATACAATAGTTGACATAGTTTTTTTAATGTGCTCGTAGAAATAAATGGGCCTAGGTAGTAGGTGATTTCTTACCCAAATATAATAGTCATCATCCCAAGTTGATCCCATCATCCACACACAAACCCAGATCCCACTATCATTCCTGTTTAGAAAGATGCATTACGTAAGACACAAATATTTTATTTTTCTAGTGAAATTATGACCAAATATACATTCTTACTTGTGTCGTTGTGTAGGAACTTCAGGAGTGGTCAAAGAAAACTCCTTAATCTGTGGTGGTGCACATGTTGATTGAACTTCCTTGTGTAAGGCATCGAACAAGTCATTCAGAAATTCAATCTACAACGTTCAAAAAGTAACCTATGAATTACAAAATTTTGTTGGAAAATATAATGCCACATAATTGAATTACAAACACGTGTATTGAAGTATGTATTCAATGGCACAAATTTTAACTATACCATTGTGTTAACTGCATTCCTAAGAATTGTCTGGCGCTCTTTTGATGGGCATGAATCCAGAATGTGTACTTGTTTCTGGTCCATCAAAATTATAGCTAAATACCAGTGGATGCCTTCATCATTCATCATATCTTTCATGGGAAGACAAACCTTCACAGGTACGAGAAAACAATCCAATTAACTAATTAGTTTTCCGACATAATTCATTCAAGAAATTAAGCAGAAGGGCAGGCATAATTCACGCGCACATATGTTGTGAAAACCGCTACTAAATAAGCAGAAATGAGAAGGAAGAATTGTGGAGAAGTCATAACCTTTCTACAATTATGAGCTTTTGATAGGAATTTTGTATCATATAACTCTAATGCCTTTGCAGATGTCATGCCATAATTAACGACCATATCCTGGTAGGAAAATGAAGTTAAATCATTGAACACTAATCTTACTTAATAAACAACCAACCCTGTGTAAACTGAATTAGAATTACAAAGCAAAAGCAACACTTACCTGCAATTCCATAGGCAGAAAGCACACTCCTCTTCCACGACCAGTATCGCTTTTAACTTCGTCCAAGGTCAAGTGTCATGCTAACGCTGTAATTACCTAAAACACAATAGAAATAAAATCCAATGATTAAAAATCGTTAAGCACGTTCAGGTCAATTAGGGGCTTTTCGCAGAAGTACTTACATCAGCATCAACGCTTGACTCGGGGCATAAGCTCCATAATGTCTACCTGGTATATGATTTCATCATTGTTTTGACCAAAGCTTCATCAGGAGGAAGGTCTTCTGCAAATATATAGTGAACAAAACTCACTTCTTCGTCACTGTAGTTGACGGTTGTAGGGAGCTCAAACCTTGTGGTACCCTTCAATCATGGAGAACGAACAAATAGAGGAAATAAGAAGAGGTTTTCACTAGGATTACAAGTGGCGGAGAAAGGAACGAAGGAAAACAACGAAAATAGGGGGCGAAAAGGAAGCATATGTACATCACTAGGATTACATACCTTCATTGACAATTTTTGTGGAG